CTAGGTAAGCACGGAGAATGCCGGATCATTCTGGCACGTACCGGGACTGAGACAAAAAAACAATGCTTCAGCATGACACTAAACTACCCAGGCCCAAATCCTCCAACAAGCACTAACAAGCACTTCAGATTCACTTCCATTCAGGTTCAAGCCTTACAGGAATCTATGTGAAGTCTAGCACGCGAAGCTTGGACATGTGCTTGTAGCTCACTTCTACTACGGGTAGCAAAACATCATTTGGTAGAAACTTGCATTTACGAAAAGGTCCCTTCAACTGATTGTGGTCCTTGCTGCCGTTGACGTCAGTGCCATCTCGGTGGCGTCGAAGGACTGAAAGATCGATCGCATCGACCGCGCTCTTCAACCTTCCAGAAAAAGCCCCCTGAGCGACTTCTGGGGTCCACAAGTCCCTAAACCAACACTTCCGTTTTCAGCCTAAAAACTACGAACATTTTTTGTAGGGCTTGCGGCTTGCGATCCTCCACTTCCCGGAACTGCTATGCTGTTATGAAAAGCAAACTTCCTTATTTCCTTCCTCTTCTGAACTTCCCCGTGGTGTGCTCAGGCCCACAGAGTCCACAGCGGTTCTGCGTTCATTTCTTGCCCTCGAGCCTACAAACTCATATCCTTTTCGAAAAAACTCTCCCGAAGACCTAAGATGGTCATGGCCGATCACAAGATCTTCGACATGCTTAATCTTTGAGTCGATGCACCGTCGCACAACGCAACAACGCCCTGAAGCTCCCAGAGCTCACGACAACAGTATCGAGCATCGCAGCTCCCAGCCCCCAGGTGGTCGTGATGCCATGAACGCTAACCAAAGAACATGCCAAACTAGGCGCGAGGGCTTGGTGGCCTTTGAGCTCAACTTAGGAACACAGCAAACAACCAAATATGTTACCTGGCCCTCGTGGATATGGGCTTGCTCGTGGCTGAAGCTACCTGCACGCCGACACCTTGCCAAGAGCCGGAACCCCGCCTGTTCACCAGCAAGCCGCCCAGGCTTTGAGGCGGGCTGGGTTTCCTGGTTTAGGGTTTAGGGTCTAGGGTTTAGGGTTTAGGGTTTAGGGTTTTTCAAGGGTGAATTCGCAAATGGGTGACTGGCATCGAGCCTTGGCCTCGAGCCTGTGGTCTATCTCGGAAATCCCTGAGCTACGCCAGAGCCTTGAGCAGGCATCCTGTTTAACCATGCAGTGTGTCTAGCCGCCTGGCATAACACACTTTGACTTTGGGAAGTATATGCTTTCTGGACCTTTTCACTTGCGTGCACAATCTGCACGTTGCATAAGCCGTCATGGGTGAGAGGGAGCATGCAGGGACTTGTAGCTTCCCAGCCTTGTGCAGAGGTACCCACTGCAGGATGGTGTAAGAGGGCGGGATATCTATGTAGGGCTTCGAGTTCAGGACTCAGGGGGCTTTTGCAGCTGTGGCCCATCCTCCTGGTCAGCTGCAGCAGAGGCGATGCCTCGGGGGAGCTGTTCTGATAGGAGAAGTGTAAGTTAACGTAGTTCCTCAGGCAGCTTTGATGGTTGACATATGTCACGCCCTCAGGCCTCGCAGGCCATGCCCTAACAAAATCCGCCGAAGCCTCGGGTCGTAGGAGTTCGGGTAGTGCCCCCGGTACCCATCACCGAATCCTCCCCTCTGACCACGCCCGGATGGACCCTCTCCTTTTTCACCCCCGATCGGTCGAACGCCTGACTGACTTGCTGACCAATGGGTCTGTGAACGAACCGGATCCACTGACAGACAGATGGACGATTGACTGACCGACAGGTTCACGGACCGACCGACTGACTGACCGGGCCGGCTGGTCGGCAGACGAAACAAGCACTGACTGACAGATGCGCGCGACCGACCGAACGACTAATTCGCTGAAGCTCGGTTAAAGACGGACGACAAGCTGCCAAAAAACAGCCCCGCACCCCCGGGAAATCTGACCGATCTACAGGCCGTGGAAGGCCGATTCGTACAATAGAAAACCGGATTGCCACCGCGACGTGCAGATTGGCGCACCGTGGATTCGTGCACCGCGGACTTGGGCAGATTCGCACACTGGATGGTTGATTCGCGAACTTTGCGAACACGGGATTTGCGCACTGACGCGGCGTATTCGATTACCATGCGCGTCGCCCGATTCACAAAACCAGCCGCGGGCAAGGGGCGCAGATCTAAGCCGCAAACGGTAGACCTAAACACGCCCTAAGACCCAAACCTTGAAAACCTTCAGCCCTCATGACCCTAACCTTTAACCTTTAAAATCGGGGGATTAGCTCGGGGTACGAAACCAACGGACCCTAAAACCGTAAGCAGCGAAAACCCTTCAACCTTCAACCCGAACAGCCCCCCAAACGAAGTACCAGCACTTGAACCGCCTCGTGCTTGAATCGAGCGTGCTTGAGACGCCAGCGCTTTAATCCGCATGTGTTTGTTCATCATCCGTTGCCTGTGCTGAGTGAATTGCAGTGCGCATGATTTGCTTGCGTTGTTTTCGTGCGTGATTGTCAGCAATTGCTTTCAACCAGAAACAGTGACGCGAATGCAATTGTGACACGTTGTCTCAACCGGGGGACCGTGGCAGAACAGATTGTCACAAATGGCATGCTCTCAGAAGCCTTATTGATTGGACACGACTTAACTTTAGCGCAAGTGCTTTACATCTCAAGCTGCCGCGAGCGCCTGGAACCCCTCAGAATCCCTAAGACCTCCGGGACCTTCCTGAACTTGTGTGGCACTGCTTGAAACCTCATGACTTGCTGCAGCCGCGGCGGCGCGTGCAAGCGTTTACAATAATGTTTATGAAGGGTTGAAAAATGTTCTGAATGCATCATGTCGGTGCACTGGCCATCATGGCTGGGCTGCTCACATCACACTCCTGTGAGAGACGATGATCGCATGCCTGTGCAGACGGGCAAGCCCCAAATCCTTTCAAGCCCAAACCATTGTCTCTGCTTTGCTACCGACCATTTCGAGAAAGCCCGGCAACTCCGTGAACATTCGGTGAACCCACAGAGCCAACCAAACAGGAATATTTCGATCGTGGCGTTTGCACAGGTAATTCAGGGTACTTCGACGCAGACGGGACTCTTGCGGGACTGTCTGGGAGGTAGGCACTCCAGGGCTACTCGGCGGGACCCTGGCGGGCTGCGATCTGTTGTGAGGCGCGTGTGCGTGGGGGGTGGGCATTTGGCGGGGCTTTTGCGGGCACTCCAAAGGGAGTCTGTGCAGGGGGGGGAGGGGGGGAGGGGGGGGGGGATTCTCCAGGATACTCCGCACAACTCTTTGTGAAACTTTAAGAGTCTCGCAGCTAGGTCCTTCGGTTTGTTGGCTTACGGGCTGCCGCCGAGTACTCACAACAGCCTCACAAGCCACGGCGAGGCAGAAAGCCAGAGCCCAATGCACGGCCCGGAACCTGGGCGACCCACCGCTGGAGTTGGGGTTCAAGGCTCAAAGTGGAGGACTCGCATGTAGAGCTTGTAAGGCATCCAGCACAAGGTGTTGGAGTAAGTTAGGCGTTAGGGTTTGGCAAGTGTAGCTTGGGGAAGAGCATCATGGTGCCAACAGACCGGATGTTGTTGGAGCATGATCACAAACGCTGGACCTGACACAGTGCACCGAGCCATCATCAAGCCCGCCACCCCACACCCGAAAGCATCTACCTTGTAAAGACTTCGCTGGGCCCAAATCATATCAGATCCTACACTTCAGACTCACATCGAGCTACGAAAGCCTTCTTCGAAGCACCCGGAATCCTTGAGTGGCTCATGATTTGTACGCAAGGGTTTCGGGGAGACCTGCTCAGACCCAACGGGTCCGGCACATTTCTCATGGCATCTGGCAGCGCCTACCTGCGCACAGAGATTGTGGCAAACGAGACCCTCGCGGCCTGTGCCATTGCATCAAAATGTGGGCAAGAATTCTCAGGTAACCGACGCTCTCCGCAACAAGCAACCGACACCCTGCACGACAGACCTTTAACTCTATAACCGCGATCCACTTATCCGAACCCGAAACCATGTATATGACCGCATGCAGGGGACTTTCATGGATCTCAAGCAAGTCGAATGGGGCCCTAAAACGAGAAGATCGCGACCACTGACAGTTTTCTTTTGTTTTACGTGGATGCAGTGGCGACAGGCAACAGGGCAAGCACGCGAAGGGCTAGAAAGTAGCAATACTTGCTGCTCGGAGACGCTGCTGTCATTGGATGTCGCAACGTTGTGTTGCCATTGGAATCCACGTGCACGCTACAGTGCTCCCTCCAGATTACATGGAGAGCCCACACACCTCCACACATAAGCTGCCCTCTAAGCCAGCGAGACATGCCCCGACTGAATTGTGCTGTGGGGCATACTTGGTCTCAATCTATCTCCAGATCAAGGTGAAGCACGCAAGAGTTGACAATGTGAAACATGTATGACCATTCGAAAACCTGAGCACTTGCACAGATGAGGAAGCCATGAACAGACACTTGGGTTTTATGGGTTCAGGGTTTGGGGGATTCACACCCTTCCAAGCACAGCACATCAACAGTGGCTTGCCTGGTTCAGTATCGAGTATAAAGCTTGACGCGTGCAGCTGGAGCCCAGAAGCCGCAAGCGTCTTTGTGACGCAGGGTTTAGGGTTTAGGGTTTAGGGTTTAGGGTTTAGGGTTTAGGGTTTAGGGTTTAGGGTTTAGGGTTTAGGGTTTAGGGTAGCAATACCTCATCCTGTTCACATGACATAAGCCAGAGACAAACCCGTTGTCGACTTCCGGGGCCATGCATAAGACGCTCCTTTCTTCTTGTAGCATCGCGCCACATAGAACGTATCTTCAGCTTTCAGGGGAGGCCCACAGTCTTCGTGGATCGCCCAATGCTTCCTATGCTTTCAGATCCTCCCACTATCTTCGAAACTGCCATGGACCTTCCTTGCAATACCCGTCCAGGATGCTGTTTAAAGGGCTTTTAGGGCTTGGGGGTGGGAGAATTTTGACCTCCATGATGCTGTTGTTTATCCACTCAGCATCGCCGTGGCTGGCTGATGGTGAAAGGACCTGCGACGTCTGTGTGGTCTTCGAGTTCAGGGTTGAGGGTTTTGGAGAGGAGGAGTTGGAATCTGGCTTGAATTTGTTCGGTTCGGGGGTGTGCAGCCATAGTGGAGGGCATCACATCAAATCAACCACACCATGGGTGTAAGGTAGGTCACAAGCAACACATTGCTTGATCTGCATGACAAACGAAACGACAACGTACCAAGTTGGCAAAGGTTGGCTCTTAAGGGCCGCAATTGCGATGCCCGTGATGGTTCGTACATCTGCTTGGTATCCTAAACGCAATGGGGTGCCAGCACGTGTGTTTTACTTGCGTGTTGAGCTTCTGCCTGGCTAGCAGTCAAGCAATAGATTTCCGACATTTGACAAAACCGGAGCGAAAACCACCCACAGAAGCACTGGAGCACCATGATTATGCGGCCTCACGACCACGACGTTTTAAACTAGCCGACGACAGAATCTCATCAGGACCCGCCGTCCACTGTAAGCTCAGCTGCTTCATTCCAGTGGAGCGTGCTGCAAGGCACTGAGACGATCTCCTCGTGCGTCTGTGGCGAGCCAAGCCTTGAGCTCCCACGATTGCTGTACTGTGCACCAAGGTGCGCAGCATTCCTCGGCAACGTAGGTTCTTGGTCATCTGGCCTCCTCCACGAGAGGCACGGCCCGTGGCTGTGGCCGGGACGTTGCATGCCTTGCGGGAGGGTCGTTTTCGAAGGTTCCAGGTTTGCAGTGGTGCTCAATGTCGTCGTCCACCTGTTTCGCAGCCAAAGCTGCGCCCCCTTCACCTCTCAGAAAGGTGAAAGCCCTTGCACCCTCCATTCATCACAGCACAGTGTTCGGTGAGGAGGCCCGGAATTTGGCACCCGGCAGCTAACAGAGGCCGCGGCACGAAAAGATCCGCTCCAGAAGACAGTGCTGTGGCTCAAGGAAGACGACAAGACTCTTACTCTTCGAGAATCAGCGCATGTTCGGAGGTAACAATTTTTTCTGCGTGGAGTTCGACAGCTACCCTGCCTTCTGTCCCCTGTGCCCGCCGCAAGAACAAGAAGCGGCGCGGGAACCGCATGCCACAACCACTTAAACACTTTTGGTCCCTGAACTTCCCAAGATTTCCCCCAGCCTCCACCCAGGGTGTGCCGCTTCAGCGCCGACACCCTCGGCGGGCCTCCGGCCTGGGAGGTTGCATGTTTGTCTGACAGGCCTATATTGGCCTGGGGAACACATCAAAGAATGAAGAGGCACAGCTTGCCATGGTTTTCTATAGTCTTCTACCGTGTTCTCCCGTTTTCGTAAAAACTTTAGGGTCCCGGTGGCTACGTGGTACAAGACGCATGGAGCATACAGCGAATGCTTGCAAACAGCACTTGCCGATACCTGGCACGAGATATGTCGCAGCCGGATCTCCTGGCTGTGCTCCGACAAACTCTCGCAATGTCGACTTTGTGCGGCGACGAAACCCTTGTTCAATCACAGGCCAAATCCCAAGAACAACATCACTGCTAAACCGCAAAGACCCTCGAAGAAGAGGGCGCGGCCCGCAAAACACCTGGGGGCCCCAGGGCCGAAATGCGCGCTCCTCCTGGGGAAATTCGAAGCTTTTTAAGTTTGGGATACAAGCTCAGGGTCTGAGATGATTAAGGTTCCCATGGTGGGCTTGAGGCGGCATACGACATATTCGTCGGACATTCATTCTTGGTACTGACATGAACCCTTCCTTCCCCAGAACCAACTGAGGGACAACCCGCTTGATTGCTTTCAACTTCCCAAAGCCGTACCCCCCGAAACCCGCAACACTGCAAACAGAACTTCAGGGGACATCTCCGCTCTCGATGTTCCAAAACGAATCGAACAGCAGAGTTGATATCCCTTCGAGGACTTTGAGTGTTTCTGGTTGTGTGTTTGGTGGTTGGCAGGACCTGGATCAGGTGGCTTCAGCTTTGGGTCTCAGGTATCTGGGGGTCGACCCTGGCCTGGGGGCCCAGTGGGCGCCGGCGAAATCGTGCGTGGAGTCGGGGAGCCACCTGGGATTTCATTGGATGAAGGCCTTAAGTTCAGAGACTGTGGCCTCAAGGCTTGATGCTTCGGGGCTGAACTCCCCGATGTTGCAATCCAGGATCCTACATGCAGAGCCACAGAGCCATCCCACATTTGCAGGTATGGGAACCACCTTCCTGGCAGAAACCACATGCAAGCGTGCGCCAAACTCACGCTGAGAACATTGAAGCCAAAGCAGCCTCCCAAGCCCTGACTACCAACCTTTGTCTTGCCAAATACTCAATCCCACTTCCAGAATCCTGAAATGCAGACCACGAATTCAAACCCAGGCAGGGCTTGCATGCACGAATCTGTAACGACGCTCAGTTCTCGGCCCAAGGCCCAGCCCTACACCCTGAAATTACACACTAAAACCTCAACCCCAAGCCTCAGCTGGGTCCCGAACCGCCAAGACTGACCTAGACCCACACACCCGGAGTGCGCCGGCAGCGCACTCTGGGAACCCGGCTGGGCGAGGCATTCCTTTCCCGGGAGACCGAGCCCCTGTCAACGCCGAGTGTATCAGGGCTTTCGCCAGCTTGAGTGTTGGAGAAGGGTCTGAAACTGTAAAATAAAAGGCACGGATACTGTCGAGACGTTGGCGTTCGCAAAGGCCCCCTAAACCCTGAAGCTGCCTTGCTCGCCCCGGCCCGCCCAGCAAGACACACTGAAACTGGCATGAGCTCAGCCCCTCGCGAGTGACCAGAATTCGCCACTCTCCTGGTTGCTGGTAACAGTCAAGAACCACACTGTCAACAAACTTGCAAAGAACCTCGTCTCTTGTTACGCTCGGATCAATATGGAGCCACCCTTGCCGCACTTCGGCAGAGCTTATACAGAAGGTTCAAGGGTGTTTGGGCTGAGTTGGGCCTCTCTTGTACATGTTTTGATAGAAAAGTCGTCCTTGGCATGTTGGCAGCAGTCACGCGGCCTTGGCGTCCCGGAGACGCCTCCCAAAACATCAGCTGCAATACTAAGGAAAACTGGTGAGCACGAGCTTGCAGCGGGCAGCTGGGCTCAGCCACTGGTTTCAAGGACTCACAGACATCCTCGGAGCAAATTTGTCCCTCAACTCGCATGCTGAATCCACATTTGCGGGGATGTGTAGCTCGCTTTTGGTCAAGAGAGCAATGGACACCTTTCGTAAAGGATCAATAGTCACACTCGGGAGAATGTGCCGGAATACTTTGGCACGTCTCCGACTGTATGTTGCCTTGGACTTCCTTTGGAAAAACGAAGGTGATATTTCCCATGCTTCTGCTGGCAGTTGCACAATCTAGAAAATGGGAGCCTTGTTGCTGCAAAGCATCTTGGTCATCGCCCTACTTTACATAGGCTTGGTACGCACCTCTTGCTGGCATCGGGGAGCCTTTCAGAAAGCCTTAACTTCAAACATGCGCGTCGCCTTTTGTACATTCTTGAGATTCTTGATCTCACGTATGGTTAAACTCTCGGGTCTGACACTAACCATCTTGGAAACGAACACTTGCACAAGACCAGTTTTTTGCCAGCCACTGGACTTAAATCCAAAAGGCAAAGTAACCTACAGGCGTACACTCCTCTTTCTACGGGATGCAGGAATCTGGCCCGGCACTTCAAAAATCGGCGTACCACCTGAACAGAGAAGCTTCCCACCGCGTGCTGCAATTTTTTGTTCTGTCTTTCAGACACTTTGAAGGCTCCCTCTTCGGCTCTGGGAATTTGACGCCAATAACAATGCAATTCTCACAAGCGGCAAAACATAAGGACCTAAAGGGCCTTCAGAAAAACCTCAGAACCTTCACAGCCCAGAAAAAACCCACTTCTGAACCGCCCCAAAAACGCCTGGATGCCCACGCGCTGCACCCGGGACCGTGCTGCTGGCGCGGTGGGTGCCGGCACCGGTCTTCGGGGAGCCGTGGTGAAGGCAACGACCGGGCGCTGCGCAGCAAAGAACGGGAAAGGTGTTGAGAAGAGGAGGAACATGAGGGGTGTGTTTGAGTGGAGGCTGATTTAGAGCTCAAGGACTGAGAGCTTCGCCCTGAACCGAACCCCGAAACTCCTGAACTTTCGGTATGTCGTCTTCGGGGATTCGACCTGTTGCGGGGGTTCAAGTTCGTCCACGCTGGGGGCTTATAAAGGACAGAATTGCAACACCAAGTCCGCAGGGAAATCGCCCTAAAGCCCTGTGATGTGTCGTAGATTCCCCCAAACCAGCTTACAGATCCGCACAGATTGCCATGCTGCATCGGGTGCTGCCCAGGGCTTCCAGCATTTGAATGCCACGCAGTGCCAGTGTAGAACCCTTCTGGCACCCACAGCTCTACTATCGCCTTGGACACAACCTTTGTAGCAATACTGAAACAATTGCTGGAGCAGTGCACTCTTGGTACTGCGAACAGAAGTAAGCGCGTTCAAAATCATTTTTCCTAAGGCCACCACTGAAGCCACCGGAACCTTTATTATCGAGGGGAGGAGCACAGCTGCAACATACATGCGGAGGACACTGGAGCTTGTGCCGGTGCAGCTGAGCACAAGGACATTTGGTGCTCAGAAACGGTCTCTAATTCCGTCCATTGCAGAGTTGTTGCACACCTTATGTCCTAGGGAGCGGACACTACTTTGCCATGGTTTTTGGAGCAACGCGGCTCGTCCTTCATGCAGCTCATGGACCTCCATTCGAAGTTGAGGACTCAAGATTTGGGATCCTGTGTTACGGCTCCCCTGGGGTCGGGACAGCGGTCTGCTGCCGCCGCGCCTGAAAGAATTAGCGTTTGGGGGATAGGAACTGGCTGAGGATGTACCGCGTCAAGGGAATCTTACCGTTCAACGTTGAAGCGAACTCGTCGTGGCTGAGGATTTGAAGCGACTCCCAGCTTCAAAGGGTTCATCGATGTCGGTGCGGTGGTTGGAGCTTAGAGCATCTTAGAGTCTTAGAGCGGTGTGTTTGTACTGCCTCCACTATCCATGCTGCAGACGCTCACACACTCAAACAGAAAGACTCTTCCTGATGTAGAAGGTGTCTGAGTGCTCGGCATCCGGCAGCGAGGAGGTGGATCCCGCAGGTTGGATGCTATGGAGGTCCTCCCAAATATATGCACCAACGGTAGGCATGTACAGCTAGGGCCATGCATCACTCACACATTCCGTTGGTAGGGGAACACGCTCCACAACGTGTTGGGATGGTGGACAATGGCGCACAGACAATGGCAGACATTGCCGGGGCACGGCTTCAGATTCAGGTCCTCGCTACTAGAAACGCATTTGCGCAAGGTCTTTGGGAAGAATGCACAGCACACATGTTGACCAACTCTTCATAACATGTGTGTAGGACCTTGTCGCGCAGATACTTGGCCAACACTATAGGGGGCTCCATGGCCTCCTCGTCACTGCCGTCGCTATTGGCCGTCTGGGTTTGCAAAAATGCGACACTGTCGGCTTTTGGACGTCTGGGACCCTGACATGCGACACTGTCGTCGCTTTTTGGACGTTGGGGTTCGCCAAACGCGAAACTGTCGTCGGTTTGGGCTTTTTTGGAGGATATCCGGAGCTCTGGCGGCTCGAAAGTCGACTACTGCAGTACAAACGAAGTACCCCGAGGAAGTCCTCTCACTGCTGGGGGTCTACGCTGGTCAGGTTGCACGGAACTGTACTAAGGTCTAGGGAGCTCTGAATCTTTAAGCTGCTGCACTTAAAACTTTTGGGGCTGCCACCTAATGTCGCTCGCTCCGAAGTCCGAAGCTCATGTACCTATCCTGCCACACAAACAGCACTCCTGTGCGCTGGTGGGCGATGACGGGCAGGCTGGCGAGCTTTCAAAAGACTTCTTATTTCCTTTCTGGAAGTGGGCCTTTACTCGGGGTTGTAGGTTTAGGATTATCGGATTTATGGCTGCTGCTTGGCTTTATTCTTGGTTCCAAGGATACTACAGGCCCTAGAACCATACGCCCCACTCTCCACTGCGCCCTCTAAATTATGCACAGGGGACCGAAAGCTGATATTTAATTTGCAACAAACAGTTTATCCATTCCGTGATCGGCAAGCAAGTGACCCACACTTGCCATACAGAACTTCCCCTACCTGCCCCGCTTTCATGCCCCCCTTACTTGGGCGCAGAAGGGGCATATGGCATATGGCGCAAGTAGGATAGGCCCAAGCGAGGCATGTCGACTCTCGATGGAGCCACCGGTGGGGGCACGTGGGGCAAAATCAACTAGCTCGTACGGGGCCAAGTTGGCAAATTCAATGCATGGGTCCACCAGGCTGTGCCAGCAATTTGATGTTCCCTGAATCGTGTTGCTTGCACTTCCGCTCCAAAACACAAGCCTCTCTAGCATTCATGACCACTACAACACTGTGTTGACACTCGGATCCAAGGAGAAGATCTCAAAACTCCTCTGCGTTGTGGGGACAACTTTGGCAGCCCGAAGCCCTGAAACCCCAAGCCTTCTCACAGGCTTACTTCCTACCAGGCCCCACAACATCAAGCCTGAATCCTGGCTTGTACCGCGGCGGCGGAGGATGGTGCTTGAGGAGCTCCTGCGAGCCGCTCAGAAGCTACATCCTCTCCTCGTGCGTTCAAGTGGCGTAACTTGGCGTGGCGTGGTGAACCGCAGTGACCCCCACACGCATCGAGAGCCCACCCCGGGCTCCCAGAGGTTCGCACAGGGACACGCGAGGCACTGAGGCCGGCCGTCCTCCGGGTGCCAGGTTTGGGTTCCAAGCTTTGGGGTTGAGGCGGTTCAGGGTTTCAGGTCGAGAGCTGAGGTGTCCAAGCCTGGGGAGTGTAGCGGTGAAGTGTTAAGACAATGGAAGGATTGAAATCAAGTGGACGGAGTCAGAGTGAAGGGATTCGGGCTTGGTCAAAACCCCTGAACCACTGGAAAGAGATGCGAAAGGCTCTTTATGTCTGATCTCGATTGTGCCTGAGGCATCGTTCAGTCGTATTCTTTCAAATTTGCACAAGTCAAGACACCTTGCAAAAGCATCGAGCCGTTTTGCTGGTTCAACTCCTAGTCAAGCCGCATCTCGCGCAGGCGAACTATGGGTGCGTACTGTACTTTGCACAAAGACCTGCAAGTCAGTTCACCTTGAGCTTGGAGTGAGACTAATCCCCACCCTGCAACCATTTGGCACTTCAGGGGCACTCCCTTTGATGGATTCCTGAAAATTCTCTATCTCGGGATGAAGGATGATGCAGGATTGGGGGTCGGGACACTCTGGAAGCGGGCATTCCAGGAAACTCTGCAGAATTCCTGCAGGATTCTGGGGTGTGTGGCTGCAGGGATACCATGCGGATTCTGTACGAGATTCTCTGGGGATGGGCCCCCCCCAATGAAGGAATACTCGATTCGTTGCGCGATGCTGACCTGGGCCAATCCAGACCTCATTTTATGTAAGTGAGTTGAATTACAAAAGCGGCTTTGCTAGCAATGGTTTTTTGGGTTGGTCTGTACCAGCAATGGTTTTTTTGGGTTGGTCTGTACCTCCTGTCATAGCGACGGCGATTGCGTCTGGATTTCTTGTCGACTACTACCGCAACCGTCCTTCAAGAAACGTGCCTCTTATGGCGCGAAAGTACGGGAGTATTGGGTCTCCACTAAAAGCACACTGAGGTTCCAGGCGAAGCACTGGCCGTCTGGATAGGCCTCATGGCGCCTCGCTGTCCAGTTGTGCGCGTGTTGGTTCCGTTGATTCCGTTGATTCGCTTGAGCTCTCGGGGCTTTGGTGGACACCGCTTGCTTCGAGCTTTCGTTTATGTTAAGAGGGTTTCTGGGTAAAGCTGTCACGCAACATCGGAGGCCAAGGATTCAGCGCATGAGATTCGCGCTCGCAATACGGAAAGAGTTTACCATAATGACTCATCAGAAATGCATTCGAGTTGGCACAGACGCAGCTCTCATTAAATCTATACAACACCTATATGGTTTCAATTCCTTTCCTCCTTGAGCCTGATCGCCTTCATGTTCGGAGTCGATGCCGCTCAAATCAAAAAAACCTGCCGAAAAACACAGCAAAACACCCCAAAACACCTTAAAGTTGCCTTAAAACTTCCGGGATATTTCCGTTGACACTGGGCCTGGCTGCGGCGAAGGCTGGGTCGGAGCTCCGGTGGCCCACCTCCCCGTACTGCGGTCTGGTGGGTTAGGGGGGCCGAGTCCCTTTGAGTGATATGACTGGGTTGAGGCATGGGAGTGATTGGCAGAAAAGGGGGTTTGTTGGCTAAGGGTTCAGGGTGGAGTGCTGGCAGTTCAGCTTCGCTTAGGCCGAGGATTGAGGGTTCAGGCGTCAAGGGTTCAGAGGGTTGGCCGGTTAAGGGTGGAGGCTTTCAGAAATCAACGAAGAACGAAGAGGTTTCGGGATGAGGAGCCCAGGGTGTGGACTGGAGGCTCCGGGGTTTCGAGTGGCAGGAGTCAGGGTTTCGTGTTTGCGGGGCTGCAGCCCGATGAACATGCTCCACCTTTTTAGGGCTTGCGTCAGGCCTAGGGCATTCTTTAGAAGGATTAGGATGAGAAGTCGGGTCTTGGATGTTGACGGACATGGGGATGTCATCTCACTGCAGCCATGGAGTGAGGCGCGCGCATTCCAAGCAGCTTGCCAAATGGCAAGGGTCTGCCCCTCGAACCCTTCTCGAACCCTTCACAGGCGAAGAAGATCCTCATGTTGTTTAAGCTTGCGGGTTACCACAAAAAGGAGCCAACCCTGCAGATCCGCGAAGTTTGAACCTCAAATTCCTCGGTGTAGCGGCGTATTCTTGGCCGCCCGGCGCTGGCATGGTCACGGCGGCATCAGGCCTCGGAACCCGAAGGAAACCAAGAAGTAGGGATCCTTTTTCGGGCTTTGGGTTCATAGAGTATGCGGATTCAGGGGTTGGGAAAGTGCCTACATGCCAGATGTGTCCAGCTTTACTAAAGAAAGATCCCCTCCCGGCACCGGTGTGTTTAGGATGAGGCAGGGTTCGAGCTTGTGGGCCAGAGCAACAAATCCCAAACAAACTAGGGGCTGGTTCCTGCACGTACCACAGGGCCCTCTGGGCGTGAACCGAGCCGGGTGTTAATTGTCCTTCGGCTGCGACCTGTCTTGATCCACAAGTTCCCTACAGCAGAAAGCGGCCTGGCCAGTTGGCACCCATCAGCATGTGCAGCACAAGCTCGCCTGGTCTCCTGAATAGTTCGGCGCATCCTTGTTCCGAGAGCGTTGTGGCTCGGCAACTTGCAGTAGCTTGCAAAGTGCCGAGAACCGTCCATATGGAAGGTGCAACTGCTTTCGACACCTTCGCCTTTGAAAAAGCGCTGTTGTGATGCCGTTCTCAATGTCGATTTGCAACACCTCCACGTCTGAAAGCTTCGAGAAGAACAACGACTGGAGTCGCCAGTACTGCAGGAAGCACCAGCGCCAAGACATGCGGAATGAATGCTGCGTACTCCTCGGGAAGACGCAGCATCCTCTGCCTGCCGATGGTGAACTCGAACTACTACTCAGTACACACACATACATAAAACTAGTGTAGGTTCTAATACGAGATCTGGCATATCTGGCATATTTCGATGTCAAGGCACAGCATGAGCGCGAACCAGAAGGGAGCGAATGAAATCCCTTCACAAAAAGTGACACCACGCCCGCTGACCGACACCGCGTCATCCAGCGCTTCCACGGCGTGCCACCAGCCATTTGGAATGTAGACTGCATCTCCCGGGTTCAGCGTCACAAGAAGTCCTCTGCCACCATCTAGGGCCTCATCGATAGGAAGCCGCGCATACCGAGTGCCATGCTCCGACAAGCAGTGGGGCATACGCTCCGGAGCCAGGAACTCCGACTGCTCCGGCGGGAAAAGTGCCACCTTTTTCCGGCCATGGACCTCAGGGCAGGTGCCTTGAGCTCGGGGCTGTCTTTCTTGCGGCCTCACATTTCCGGATCCATGCGATTTCGACATCTGTACGGGGACTGTCGGACTGTATGCCCCAGGGGTTCAGGATTCTAGTTGGGGGTATGCCTCCAGAAAGGGAAGCTGCAGCTGATCCCTCAACCCCAAACGACCTCTCATTTCGGCCGCGCCTGCCAGCCCTGTCTAGCCCATGGGTGGTAGACTCCGCAAGAGCCAGGGAGCATACAGCCCCTACGATCGCAAGACTAAACGCTCATCGAACAAAGCGACCGAAATTCAGAGTCGCAAAAGCACCTCCAATGCAACACCGAAGCTCCCATAAGCCCTCGAAACTCTCAAATCTACTCTGCGCCCTGCCTGGTGAAGCACGGAACAAGGCTCGTCGTCCTGGTGCAAACCCGTCCGCGCACCACGGGGGCTCAGCCACAGCACCCCCTCGACCCAATCCTTGCAAGGGACTCTGGCTTGGAACGGGCTTGGCTCTTGGACTTGTTTGCGGCTTCGCTGAGGGTACGAGGGCATGCCGGTGTTCGTGGAGGTCTCGCAAAGACACTCGCCATGCAAGGCTGCTGTGAGGAGTGGGGACTTCGAGTCTGGGAGCTTGTCGATGCATGTTCTGGTGATGCACAGTGTACATCAGTGCCAACCAAATGAACGCAACACCTTGTGAAAACGCAAGCCTGCTGCGCCTACCTCTGAATGTTTCCGTCACTCCAGCCAGTCATTCTTCAGTCATCTCCTGTTCCTAGCCGAGGCTCTGCACCCGGTGCGAAGCCCAGAGCGGAGGGAACGAGCTGCGTCAGCAACCAGGCGCTCCAAGCTGTGCCACGGTGCGCGCGGCGCTGGAGCAGCGGGAGAGCCCCCGAGGCCTCAGGGCAAGCAGGGAAGCACAGGAAATAGATGTGAAATTCAAGATTCGAAAACAGGAAGGCAAGTTGCAGTCAGGTCTTGTTGTGGAGCATACAAACATTCGAGACTGCAGCAGTTCTACCGTGGAAGCAACTGTCAACATAGCAAGAGACCACAACACGATGTTCCTACTGATTGGTGAGGGCCTTGAAGATGTCGTCGAAAGGCGCATCGGAATCGGCCGCAAGTGCAAAGTTGATCGTGGCGTTGGTGAGGCAAGGGCGGGTGCAAAAGGGAGCCCCCGCCTGAATTGAGCACGGAGGCCACTTGCCCGCCAAACACGAGGCTCCCGGCACCTGAGCCACCGAGCTTGCACCGAAGAAGACTTCCAAGTACTGAGCCAAAGTGGCACCGCGGGCACCTTCGATACTCACAGCCCCGAGCTGCTCCTTGAGGCAGGCGGGGGTCCAACAAGACCCACCCTGAGGCCAGCCGAGCATGGCACTACCATTTCGAAAGATGACAGGCTCGTTGCGCGCATGCTTCCGCTCTAGAATATCCGCTGCTTCCTTCAAGGTTGCCGGTGAAGCCTGAAGTAGCACCGTGCCCACGTGTGTCGCGGGATGCCGCCGCGTGAAGCACTGCGTTTGAAAGATACGATAGCTCCAGGAGACCCACACCGCCAGCACGGAGAATGGAACTGCACAGACAATCCATGCCCACATATGCCTACAGCACCTCAGCTTGAGTCCTCGCTTCAGGCATGATCACCACCATCATCACCATCATCCACCATGATCATGTGACTGATCTCGAAGTCCAACTGTTGCCAGTGGAAATGCAACTAACTAGGGTCTGGGACCAAAGCTCAGAAACAACAATAACAACACCCAAGACACCGTAGCTGACTTGAAGCCGACTTCTTAGAAGGATATCTATGATATCTCCCCCAAACCCATTCCGATGAACTCTGGCATTTTGCAAGCACGATTAAGCACTGTTACTGGGGCCGAAAGCGACACAACCAGACAATGCCCGGATCAAAGCATTGCATAGCTCACCAAGTCACAAGAAGACAGGGCAGGCCTACTACCTTTTTCTCGCTTTCAGGAAGCTGCAAAGCCTTCGAAGCTGTGTATCAGAACTCCTGAACGCATTTAGGAAGGACTCAAGCCTGAAGATCAGGGCGCGGCGAATAGAAAGAGCTTGCTCCATCAGCCTGAGCCCCAGAAGCAACTGCGTCCTCATCGGCCGCGTAGTGTGTTGCTTTTCGTTGTCTAGGATTGCGTACCTTGTGCTGAGCTAAACGGGTCCGCACGGTTGTGCGCCAAAATTTGTCCTTCACGTTTCGCATGGTTGCATGCTACCAGCTGAATGGTGACGACCCTCATTTCTGCACTGGTAGGCATGACGTAACTCGGACATGGGACGGCATCCAGCGTGGCCTTTCAAGAAGTTTCAAGTTTAACGGCCACAATAACCAATCAACGCACATACAACAACAAAGCTAATCACGTGCACAGGAGCCCTAGTGCTTCAGACCTTTTGCCAGCCATCTTGTTGGTAACGCGCTGCAAGTTCAAAAAACCCAGGGTTACGCAGCTGCACGCCGAACTTTCATACCCGAGCAGCTATCTCGCCAAAAGCCAACACACCCAGAAAACCCAAACCTGTGTCATCGCTGAGGAAAACTTTGTCAAGCTGAAACTGAAACGAAAAGAACGGGGGCGACGGCGCCTGGGCAGAGCGCATCGACTCCGGGGCACGCGGCGCGGCCCACCTGTGTCATGGCTTCGGGTAAAGGCGCTTCCGACTTGCAAGAGTGAAGCCTAGGGTGTTGTAGGGTTTCAGCGCCTTTGGTGGGGTCTCAGGCTCCTGTAGCTGCAGTTTGTATCGCGACACCGCCTTCTAACTGGAAAACGGTAAGGACGAAGCCCCAAAGTTGACCCGTGCCCCGGGCTCACAAGACAGCCACTGCTCAGCACGCACAAAACTTCAAACCGCAAAGTGCGATCCTCACATAGGACCAGGACCAGTGGCAAACCTCAAATCCGAAGCCGAGGCGATACTGGGCCAGCTGCGGCTGCGTCTGAACTTGGTCTGCAGTGGCAGGTCGCCGATGTGCCCCCTTAGGGCAATGGTCTTGCTGGGATGGGCCTTGGGCCAATGTAAATATACGACTTTGAGCATTGAGAGAGACTACGACGAAGTGAGATACGAAAGCCCACACCATTCCTGAGTACTGCAGCAGACTCTTGGGCTTCATCTTGACAACTAAAGACGGTGCGCAGGCCGTCGTTCGGGAACACGTGCGCTGATGCTCCAACCCAACAAGCAAACTTGCTTTGACAGTGCTTTGACATTGTCAGTATGGCATGGCGCAAAGTTTGCGACTGATTAAACAGGTCCATAAAAACCCCAGCCTGGAGCCAACTCAGATTGACGAGGTGTAGTACTTGTGTCAACCAAAGTTCTGAGAACCCGATCTGAGCCTAACCTGGGCAATCTGAGAGATCTGAGAGCCGAGATCTGAACAAGGCTTGAGGTGACCGAAACTCATATCCGTATGAGCATTCCGAGCATACCCAAGTGATGACAAAGATATTTTTGGTTCGGCCATGTAAGGGCCCAAAAAGGCTTCATGAACTAGCCTGAATGAGGGCCTTAGCTGACGGCCTCTGGAGAAGCTGCGATTTTTTCGTGATGTGTGTTCTTGGAGAACAGAGACTTTAACACTAGGCACTCATACCAAAACACCAAGCCTCTCCAGGACGGGGCGAGACGGCACGGCCTGTGGTGGCTCTCAAAAAATGTGCTTCCAAGAGGCACATCGGGCTTCTCGCTTGGGCTCTGAGGTTCAGTGCTTTAAGTTCGTGATGGAAAGCTTGGGGCTTCGGGTGGCTGTAGACGGAGGCGATGTAAAGTTTAAGGGGCTCTTCCGGCAGGATAAAGGGCATGCCCAGTACAAACCACACCTTGGTCCTTGAGGCTCTGCACGTTGAGAGCCCGGCCATTGGAAGCAAAGGAGGGATGGATGGAAGCTGTCACCTCCAACAGATCCTGCCAAGGACCATGAGCCTAGCTTTTAGATCCCAAGCACTCAAGCGAGCGAATCTCACACCTCTAAACACACCGGCTTCTTTACGCTGCCTGAAAGTCAGACCTGAGCTCTGCCTCCACCCGCCGCCTGAGCCCAACCCCCTAAACCCCGAAGCCCCTTACAGCCTCCAGCCCACATCCTCAACCTTAAACCGGCAATCCTGCTCACCTCACAATTGCCGCAACAAAACGAGGCCCGGAGCAAATTGAAGTGCAAGCATTGGGCCAAAGCAGCGAAACGCTGTCGAGACCTCGAGGCTCCACTGCTTCTGGCTCGTGGTCCACCCCCAAAGGCCTCACGAACAGATTGGGGAATTGGGGAGGAATCGTCCAGGGATGTCGTTGGATCCGAATGTGACACCCTTCACAGAGCTTTCCTTGCGATGCCTTCTGGGATACCCTTTTAGGTCCTATAGACCTGAGTAACTCTGTGACATCTGCGATCTTGGGATGTGCAGATGCAAAGGAAGCCACACCGAAAAAGCTTGGCGTCAGGAAGCCCACCACACAATCTATTCTTCGCGGGTTTCAATATTAAGTCTGGTCTTTTGAGAAGTCATTCTGAACTTGTGGATAAAATCGTGCAAAAAGAAGCGGAAAACATGAAATATACATTTATCAACACATATTTGTGTATGTAATAGCTGATAGATATCGTGATTTCCGAGCAATCCGTGCAGGAGGGCTGAAGATATCGGGTGGAAAGAACCATCTGGGCTGGCGGACAGTGGACACCGATGCGGCACGCACAGCGGGCTGCCTGCCGTAAGTCACCAGAAGATTAGGGGGGGGGGGAACATTCGCAAGAATGCCGACACACCTTCCACCTAACTCCATGCGTGCAGTATCTTTGCAACTCCACATGAAACCTTGAAACAACATGTCGAATCTCAACAACACTTGTTGTAGTGCAGTTGGCAACATCTGTCTCAACACAAACCTGCTGCCAGCTGCTGCCACCTCCACACGATGTTTCGCAGGGAACTGCCGGAGAAAGCTCCCAATCACCTGTAACGTCTGGTTCAAGGGCATACGTGCACAAAACGTGGCTAGTGCGAAGAAAATCCATGCTTGAGTGAATGGACTAAAGCCTAGGACGCCATGTGCAAAAGCATAACGAGTGAGACAACATTCTGAAAGCCATCAGATCTGAAGTCTATGCATGGTTTATCTGCTGCTTCCATGGATGACAACTGTTCCGATCTGACCTTTGCTGCGGTTGCATGCTGTATGTCCGTCTTGAGCTGTCATGTCCAGCAGAAGATGTTGCGGCCACATGCTCTTGCCTCCCACAGCAGTTGCTTGGAGGCAGCGCAGATTTCGCATGTGAGGCCCCCGGATTTTAAAGGAACAAGCCTTGAGGGCTCAAATTCGCAAAGCTGTATCAGGATGCCCAGGGAGGGGCTTCCATCCCAAGAGTGGAGAATCCCTTTGGGTCACTGGGCGATGATTGCACCAACTACGGATGCTCCATGATGTTCCTCTATCCTCGGCTTTTGCAACCCCAGACACAGACACGAACCTTAAGGCAACTTCTCCATGGCCTCACAGGAAAGCCAATCTGAAAGCCGCATGATGACCTCCTCCGGTTCTTGCGGACCTGAATGCTCATGGCACAGAGAGAGAGAGAAACAAATTTCAGAGAGATTGGATAAAACATGTTCGAGGGAGAAACTTATTGGCTTGATGAACATTGGCACCACACAGCACCGGATAGCACTTCCGTTGCGTTTTGCAATGCGCCAGTGAATGAGTTTGGCGTGCGCCGGCATGAGAGAGACTGTGGTGTTTGTTTAAGGACTGTCGGCTGAAACTTGGCATGGCAACCCGAACGATGCTACACGCAACTCGCACCATGTCGCTCATCAGATTATCAGAATACGTCCAACCTTCACAAGTCTATACCAAGGCCGCAGCTGCCATTTGCAGCGCGCATGTCCAGTGAAACGGCCATGCCTCCAAGCTTCCAAATTCCTTGACACAAGCACACAAAGAAGGCCACCTCAATCAAGCGCCATGTGCACCGGACGGTACGCAACAATGTGAACTGCGGTGTCTCTTGCAAATGCAATACGAGGGTTTGTGCCGAAAGAAGTTGGTGCGGACAAGCACAACTGAAACGTAACAAAGCACATACTAAGCAAGCTAGCAGGTTGCTGTGTGAGTGTGAGAGCTGCGAGAGCCAAACGTCAGCGATTCTGTTTCAAACATCACAAAAACATCTATCCACATGGTCGCCTGGTGGTCAGCACCCGAGACAAGAAGCCATGGCCAAACCAAACGGTAATGGAAATTTCGAAACATTCAAAGACTACTTATAGACCATGTCATCCATAACGTATTTTAAATCCGTGAATATTAAAACAGCAAAACATTCACATTATAATTCAGGATTCACGCTCCTTGCTCTTGTTGCACGGCACAGCCGAGTCAGGGGAAGGTTCAAAAGTTAACTGACACTGGGAGTGCCACGCTGCAGCACTGAGAGTGCTCACATCACACCGAGAGTGTAATGCCACATGACTGGAGTGTACAACTGATGTACGCATGTCACCCCAAGGGCGGGTTGGGTGGGAGAAACATTTTGCCTCACTTCTCGCGTGAGCCTAAATCTTGCCCATGCAAAAAAAACAACATGCTCACATAAACAATAAAATCTTCCCAAATCAACATGCGACCTGGCGGAAAAACGTTAAGGACCAAAAGCACCCTGCTTTTGTTTGACATGTCTATAAAACAGCGTCATGCAAGCATGAACGTATGCTTTTGGACCATGTCATCCATAACGTATTCAAACTCACTTCACATCCGTAAATATAAAAGAGCAAAACATTCACATTATAATTCAGGATTCACGCTCCTTGCTCTTTTGTTGCACGGCACAGCCGAGTCAGAGGAAGGTTCAAAATTTGACTGACACTTGGAATGCCACGCTGCAGCACTGAGAGTGCGCACATCACACCTGAGAGTGTAATCCCACATAACTCAAGCGCCGCTTCCAAAGTGCCCCTCTTCTGTTTTAAGACACTTTCCTTCGCCTGACACAGATTGGTGCCTTTCTTCTGTATACGGGTTGCGAACTGTGCGAACAGCATTAAAACCGCCGTCGGCAGGTACCTTAAAATGCCTTCCAGACGCAGTGGTCATGAAAGGGCGCAGTCTGATGCCACAAAACTCAGGCTTAGATATTGACTCCAAACATATCCCGTCTCCACTCCAGCTGCGCTGCCTTGTTTGTGTGTGTAAGTCTAACACATGTTCTGCCAATTGGTCGCCTCGAAGCTTATGAACGACGCAACTTGGATCGGAGAGGTCGAGGGCAAAGACTGTAGGAAAGACTGAGTTTCTACGTGCAGAGACTTAAGTCTGGGAACAGGGAACTCCAGAGATGTATTTTCGCAATTTTCGTTTGAGCAACGTTTGAAAGCAGTGGAGTGTGCGCTGCAATGGCCAGCCAGAATCCACAAAGTAGTAAATTTCGCCGATGGCATGGGTATGTTGAAGGTGGGTTGCTAAGCACACAAGGCCGTTTTAACTTGTCCTTCCACGGGCAGAGTTCTTTGTTGTTGGAATTCGGATTCTGGCATTTCTTGAAATTGCGGATGCCTTCCTGATGTTGATCGGTTACACGAGACCTTAGTTCTTCAATGCTTGGCCAGCTACCCAGCAGAATATTCAAACTGATGCCAGTAACGTCTTTCTAAAATGGGGCATGTCAAGCGCACTTGTGTGGGTAATCGTTTACAAGGGATCTTCAACGCCCAGTTTAAGTGCTTCAACTCTACGCTTGTTTTCCAGCAGTGTCTTGTCTGTCCGTTTTCTTGGTTTGGGAGCAAGTGGCGCGTGGCGTGCAGCCATGTCTTGACAAGAAAGAGGGGCCTCAAGCACAAAAGCCAAAGCCAGCATGAACGGACCTGCGCGTGGTTAAAGCAGGATCCAAAGTTTCCGAAACATCAAGAAGCAAAGGAACAGTTTAGCGGGTGCTTGAGCTGGAACTGAAGTTCTTAAGCTCCAAAGGTCAAACCCAACCTGAAAACCCAAACCTTCCAGCGGGTGCTGAAGCACGGCTAAAATTCCCTGCCAAACAAGTCGGTCTTGTTATTTGAAATTATTTTTTCGTTTTTGTTTAAGGCTTCGCTTTAATAAACTTGCTCAAGCCTTTTTGAGGGTCCGTAGTCCCTTTGGCTCAAGGCCACGTCGCTCGAGGTTTGCCACCAGGAAAGCGAGCAAGGTTCGGGGGGGGGGGGGTTCGAACCTGGGGTCAACTCAGGTTCGAACTCCCGGCCCTCCGGGGGGGGGGGGGGGGGGGGGGGGGGGGGGTGGGAACAACAACATCGAGAACCTGGGTTTAACCTGGGTTCAACCTGGGTTCAACCCAGGTGCAACCTGGGTTCAACCCAGGTTCAACCCAGGTTCAACCTGGGTTCAACCCGGGTTCAGAACCCGGGTCAGAATCCAGGTTCAACCTGGGTTCAACCTGGGTTGAATCCGGGTTCAACCCAGGCTCAACCCAGGTTCGACCTTTAAGCCCCCCTTTAAACCCCCGATAAGCCTCCCCCTTAAGACCCCCCTCACTTCTCTAATTTCGAATAATGAAATCTAAAAAACAAATAGAAAAATAAAACAAGATTTGAAGGGGGCGGAATTTAGACTAAATTTCCTTCTCTCTCTTCTTGAAGAGAAGGTAATGTTTAAAGTCTCACTTCTCTGGCTTCGAATAATGAAATCCAAAAAATAAAACAAGATTCGAGGGGGGTGGAATTTAGAGTAAATCCCTTCTCTCATCTTCTTTCAGCCCCCCCCCCTTAAGACCCCCTTTAAGCCCTCTTCAAGGCCCCCTTCAAGCCTCCCTTTACGCCCCCTTTAAGCCCCTTCAAGCCTCCCTTTAAGCCCCCCCTGAAACCCCCCCTTAAGCCCCCCTTAAGCCCCCCCTTAAGCCCCCCTTAAGCCCCCCCTTAAGCTCCCCCTTTAAGCCCCATTTAAGCCCCCTTTCCCCGCCGTCCCACCCCCAACCCCCCCGCTCTTTACTTCTTAAAACAAAAACAATCTCGTCTCTACTCCTCTGAGTTTTGAACAATGAAATACAAAAACAAAACAAGATTTGAGGGGGGTGAAATTTAGACTAAAGTCCTTTCTCTCTTCTCCCCTCTTTCCAATTCACAACAGGCAAAATGGGGGGGGCTGCGCCCCCCCCAACCCCCCCGCTCTTTACTTTTAGAAACAACAACTGTCTCGTCTCTACTCCTCTGATTTTCGAATAAGGAAATACAAAAAACAAAAGAAGATTCGAGAAATTCGAGGGGGGTAGAATTTAGAATAAAGTCCCTTCTCCCTTCTCCTCTGAGTTTTCGAAGAATGAAATACGAAAAACAAAAGAACATTCGAGGGGGGTGGAATTTAGAATAAATTCTCTTCTCCTCTTTTTGCTTTAAGAAACAAAAAACAGTCTCGTCTCCTTTCAAGATTGAACAACCCAGGTTCAAGCCAGGTTCAACCCAAGTTCAACCCAGGTTGAAGGGGGCGGAATTTAGACTAAATTTCCTTCTCTCTTTTCTTGAAGAGAAGGTAATGTTTAAAGTCTCACTTCTCTGGCTTCGAATAATGAAATCCAAAAAATAAAACAAGATTCGAGGGGGGTGGAATTTAGAGTAAATCCCTTCTCTCATCTTCTTTCAGCCCCCCCTTAAGACCCCCCTTTAAGCCCTCTTCAAGGCCCCCTTCAAGCCTCCCTTTACGCCCCCTTTAAGCCCCTTCAAGCCCCCCTTTAAGTCCCCCCTGAAACCCCCCCTTAAGCCCCCCTTAAGCCCCCCTATTCACAACAGGCAAAATGGGGGGGGCTGCGCCCCCCCCAACCCCCCCGCTCTTTACTTTCAAAAACAACAACTGTCTCGTCTCTACTCCTCTGATTTTCGAATAAGGAAATACAAAAAACAAAAGAAGATTCGAGAAATTCGAGGGGGGTAGAATTTAGAATAAATTCCCTTCTCCCTTCTCCTCGTGGAATTTAGAATAAATTCTCTTCTCCTCTTTTTGCTTTAAGAAACAAAAAACAGTCTCGTCCCCTTTCAAGATTGAACAACCCAGGTTCAAGCCAGGTTCAACCCAAGTTCAACCCAGGTTCAACCTAGGTTTCGAATTGAACCCAGGTTCAACCTGAATTCAACCTGGGTTTAACTTGGGTTCAACCCGGGTTCAACCATGTTCAAACCCAGGTTCAACCCAGGTTCAACCCGGGTTCAACCTGAGTTGAACTTGGATTCAACAAACCTGGGTTTAACCCAGGTTTAAACCCAGGTTCAGAGAACCCCAGAACAACTCACACCCTTCAATTAGTTCGAACCCAGGTTGAACCCAGGTTCGAACTCCATTTTTAAAGGAAAAGAGTTCGAACCTGGGTTGAACCCAGGTTCGAACCCCCCCCTCCGTAGCCATTTTGGCTCAAGCCATTTTGGCTCAAGCCATTTGGCTCAAGTTTTCGGCCCAAGGAGTAGCCTGAGGGAAGTTTCGGAGGTCTCAGCCTTCCTAGCCTGGTAGCCAGCCTAGGACAGTTTGCCCAGAGGTGCCTTCCTCTTAGCCATGGCCCCCCGCGAGTACATCTGTTGCAGTGGCCAAAGCTGCACAGGATGGATTTGGGCGGACAAGGCTCAGCCGCACATGCTCTGCAAGAAATGCAGAACGCCCTGGGCAAACAGCATTCGAAAGGCGAGACAGAACTGGAGCCAGTGGAAGCCACAATGGCCCACAGTGGCTGAGGCAGCTTACTGGCAGCCGCCAAAGAAGCCCAAGCCTCCGAAGACACCACTGCCGAACAAGGTCCTGCAAGCCCTTGGAGTGGCATGGGACAATGTGCCTGAAGAGGTGCAAAAGAACCTCCAGGAGGCGGTACAGACCACCCAAGGCACAGGTCAAGGAAGAGGTGGACGACCTCACAGACCTGTGCCAGAAGCATGAAGC